CCGTTATTCAGAGCGCCCGCCGCGGGGCGCTCCCGAGTGTCAACCACCGCCCGCGGCCCTGCCCCCAACACCGCCTGCTGCCTCGAACCCCGCAGATTCGGGGGCCCTGCCCTCCCCACCCCCAGGGTGTATGTAGGGGAGGAGTCCAGCACCACGGGCGCCGCGTTTCGCCCGCGGACGCCGCCCCCAGATCACTTCCTGTCCCCCGCCACGATGTCCTTGAACGTCTTCCCCGCCAGGAACGCGGGCGCGACCTTGGCCTCGATCGCGATCGCCTCGCCGGTCCTGGGGTTGCGGCCGGTGCGCGCGCTGCGCTCGCGGCGGCGGAACGTGCCAAAGCCGGGGATCACGACCTCCTTGCCGGCCGCGACGCCGTCCATGATGGCATCGAGCAGCGCATCGACGGCGCGGGTGGTGTCCTGGGGGTGCGGTGCGGGTTGGGTTGTGGATGGGTCGAGGATGGTGGGCGGCGGTGGCGCAGGGGTGATCGAAGATGTTGATTTGTGCGTGTGTGTGGGGGGGGGGAGTGCGTTGGTTGGGCGGGCGACGGCGCGGGGGACGTGTGTGTGTGTGTGTGTGTGTATGTTGGTTGGGGGTCGGTTATGGGATGTAAGGGGGTCGAGGGGCGTCTCGCGTCAGGTTGTCTGGCGTGAGCGCGGGGAGCGGCGGCGTGCCCTTGATCGCCGCAACGTGGACGGGGCGGGAGTGCCCGGGCGCGGGCGCGTGGGGCCGGCGGGCGCGGCCTGCAGTTGCTCCAATTCAATCCAAGCTGCTCGGCAGCGCCGGCCCCGCGCTGCCGCGAGCCCCGCGCACCGCAGCTGTGAGGTTGGTGGAGGCCTTCACGATCTCCTTCTGCGGGGTTGGAGGGCGGGCGCGCGGCGGGGTCAAAAGGGGGCCGCGGGGCACGCGCGCTCGCGCGCAGAGGGCACGGCGGCAGATCTAGGCGGCGGCTGGTCCTGACGCCAACCCCCGCGGTGACCAGAGGGTGGGGGTCAAAGCGGGGCGGCTGCGCCGATCCCCGGCCCCTGAGGCTGGCGCGGCGCTGTTGGATGCGTCGCCGTAATTCCCCCAGCTTTCAAGGGAGCCCCACGGCTCGCCAGCTCGGTCTTGGTGATCTTGTCGGCCTTCGGCTTCGCCGGAGTCGCTGCGCTCTCCGCTTTGGGGGCATCGGCGGCCCGCGCGGCTACTGCATATTGCCGGGCTCGCTGGGAGACGCGCGCACAGACGGACTGAGCAGTGAGGCGCAACATCTTTCCGCTGAGCTGGTTGGTGTGCGTGATCTGAGTGTGGCAGGGCAGCATGGGCGATCGATGGCAGCAGCTACAGAGTGGATGATGTATGATCAACTCACGCAAGCAATCATCAGACGACCCCTTGTGGTGCTGCGACGTTTGAGTTCGCCTCCCTCACCACCGGCAACCGGGACTGTAACTCGGTGTGCTGTGAGTGTTTCTCTCGCCGCCGCAGGTACATTCGATGAAAATTCTGATATGATATCACGCTCGTACATACAGCACACCCAAGGGAACGGCCACATCACCCAACACAAGCGCCCGCTATAGCACATTCAAACGCTGTTCGCTCTTCTGCTTCAATTCGCACTTTTACCGCTTTCATTTCCTGGCATAGCAGCAGGCATGCTCGCGCAGCTTGGAGCCGCGCGGCGGCCAGTGGTGGGCGCCGCATGCCGCACATCGCGTACTGCAAGGGGCGCAGCCCTGCCGCAGCAGCAGCGGAGGAGCACAAGTCACGTGTGCCAGGTGCGCACCTAGCGCCGCCGCAGCGCACGACAAATAAGCCGGCGCACGCGCGGCGCTGCCCCCGGCCGCCGCGCCGCCTTTTCACGCCCGGCGCCGCGCCACCCGTGCCGCACTCTGCCGTCGCCCCTCACCCCGCGGCGCGCCTCGGTTTCGACGCCGCAGGCCCACCCCCGCCGCGTGGCCAAGGTGTCCAGCCAGATTCAGCGGGAAATATCTGAGATGTTCATCTATGATGATGTGAGCGCTGACCAGCAGTCGGTCACCGCCGGCCCTGTTTTAGCTGCAGCTGTGGGCTGCACGCAACCACGGGGCTGTGTGCCCTGGCGTGCAGGGCCGCAGCCGGCGAATGCCTGCAGCAGCGAGCCAGCAGCAGCCGGCCCGCCGGCAAGGGGCTGGCGACGGGCCTCCGCAACACCTCGCGCAGCGTGCGCATCCATGGGGTGGCGCGGCCGCTGCCAGCAGCTGGTGCCGTTCGTGATGCCTCGCTCGGCTCTCAGCATCGAACCTCCCCCTTCTCCAAGTCGTATTCTGCCCCCTTGCCCCGCGCCGACACCCCATCAGGTCCTGCAGCGCGCTATCTGCCCCGAGCGCGGCCAGGGTGACTCGCTGTCGGCCATCGCGGGCGTCACCCACGTCCACGTGACTAATGACCTGCAGGTGGCTGGGCTGGTGTGGTGTGGTGTGTGGGATCGTGCCTGTGTGTCCGAAGTGGGGGCCTGGACGGGCAGTGTTCGAGTGTCACTAGGCAGTGTGTCAGCGGAGCGTGCGACTGCAACAGGCCTGCAATTCAGTTCAAGCCCCTGGTGGAGAAGCTCACGCGGTCAGCTGCGGGAAGCACTGGTCCGAGCTGAGAGCCCCAGCCGCAGCAACGGCGCCAGCGGCGACAGCAGCAGGTGCAGTAGGAGCAGCGGTTGCGGCACCAGCAGCCGGCAGTGCGCAGCGCTCCTCAGCCGCCCGCTGTCCCTCTCGCACGCCGCGCGTCCTCGTCGTCTCTCGCACGCCGCGCGTCCTCGTCGTCTCCGACCCCACACCACACGCCGTCTACCATTTCCCCAACCTTCTCCTCTCACACCAAGGTGGTCAAGTGTTACGTGTCGATCTACAGTGACGACCGCGGCAGGGCCCAGGCCATGGCCAACCTGAAACGCCTCGAGCCGTGAGCCGCCGCCCCCGCCCCCCGCTGCCCCTGTCCCTGCCGCCCCCGCCGCCGCACACAGTCCCGCTTGCTCTGGACCCGCGGCCAACCGGCTCCGCTGCGCGGGGCACCACTCTTCAACTGCCCGTCGCTCACTTTCCTTCGTCTGGGCCGTGCGTGCACATGCGTGTCTGTGTGTTGCTGTGTGTGTGTTGTGTGTGTGTGTGTTCGCGCGCGCTTGCACGCAGGTACGTTCGCTCCCAGATCGGCCAGCGTGTTCGTCTGCGGCTGACGCCCGAGGTGCGGTTCGAGTACGATGACAGCATTGAGGAGGAGGAGCTGGTGCAGCAGGTGGGTGGGGGAGTGGGTGGGTGGGTGCCTGCGTGCAGGTGTGTCTGTGTCTTGGGGGTGTGTACGTGTACGTGTGTCTGCTTGTGTTTGTTTCTAAGTGCTGTTGTGCGGGTGGATCTGCGTGTGTGTGCATCTGTTATTGTGTGCGCGTCTGTACATGTATGCGTGTGTCTCTGTTGCGTGTGTGTGTGTGGGGGGGGGGGCAATAGGGAGAGGGCGGATGCGTCTGAGAAGCACGGGGCGGGGGCCAGCCGTGGTCTTAAGGGCTTGGGCGCGGTGATATCGGGCCGAACTGCGCGACAGGCAGATGGACAGAGGGGGCCGGGGACGCTGCGGTGCTCGCGGGGCGGACCGTCGGGGCGGCGTGCGCGGGCGGAGCGCGACTCGGCGGCCCACGTGTCCCCACGCGCTGCCCCTCTCATGCGCGACCAGGTGTTGGGGCGGG